CGGAGCTGGGCATTCCTGGGGGCTGTTCCCCTGCTCTCCCCACTTCACTTCCCATCAAGAAGGCCTAGGCTGGAATGGGAGCAAGACCTCAGAAAGGTGGGCCCTCAGTGGGAAGTTCTTTAGGGACAAGATCAGAGACTTCCTAGGGGTTTTCCACTTCATTGTCTACTGGAGGCTCCCGCTCTAGAGGAAGTGGGAGGAGGTGGGACAGCTGGGACCCAGCAGGGAAATGCCTAGGGGCTAAGAGGATCTGGCAGAGAGGAGAGCTTTGAGAGGGCCAAGCCCCCCACACCCTAGCCTTGGAGGAAGCTCCAGGCTGACGCCTCCCTCACCATCTCCTGGTTCCGAATGCAAAAGGGGAGATTGAGCTAAACCCAAGATACGGTTCCCATCTACCTTGGGTGGGTTGCCTGGCTCACTAGTCTACATTTACTTGCTGCCCCTCCCCAGCCCACTTCTTTAGTCGACCTGCACCCCCCTGAGAGCTCTCTCAGTCTCGGCCCCTCAGTGGTGTCTGGTTCCCCTTTAGTGGCACCTCAGAGGGATCTCTCAGCTTGGGACTTTCTGTGGATCTCTCTGACTGGGTCTCCATTCGAGGGTTTTCCTTGCTGGGTCTTCTCGGGCTTTTCAGTCTGAGGTCATCCTATGGGGTCTTTCAGTGTGGGGTCTGAAGTGGAGGGTCCCTCTGTGGAGTGTCTCATTACAGGTCCCGCTCTAGGGTCTCTAGTCCAGGATCCTCTTGGTGGAAATTTGGTCTCTTCTGAGTCTTACCTCTCCCCCCCCCACCCCCACCCCCAGCTCCCAGAATTCTGTGTCCTGCTGTTTCTTCACAAACAGCACTTTCTCTGTGAATTTCCAGTCCTGGGCCCTTGGGGACTCCTCTTCAACTGATTTTACTGGAACAGTTTGGGTGAGGAAAAGAGCACACAAAATAGGGCACAGACTCACACCGAGTCCTGCACTCAGATCCACGAGCTCTGTGGCCCCCGAGTCGGCCCATCTTTCTACTCAGATGGCCTGGGTGCAAGCCATGATTCAGGTCGGCCTGGGGTCTGGGCACTTTGTACTTTATAGGGCATTTCTCTCCAGGAGCATGAACACCTGAGCAGGCATGAGGTCACCAGACACGGGGGCACCCCAGCCAAGATGTGGGGCGGCCTCCCTACTTCCCGGGTCAGAAACAGGCAAAGGGGTAGACAAGAGTCAGACAGACAGCTGGGGAGGGAAAGAAACAGAGGAAAACAGTGGGAATCTGGCCGGAGGGGAACACCTGGTTGCCCCAGGGCATCTCTTTTTCTGTCTTTCTCCTCACTGTTGCCTATCAAGGTTGGGATCAAGTCTCACAGACTGATACCAGTTACAGCTCAGGAACACCATTTGGGTTGGAAGGTCTCATTGTGAGAGGAAGTGGCTTCATCTTAAAGAAGTGACAGAAGTCTCTTCCAGGAGACAGTTGGACTCATGACTAGCTCAGAAGTGGTGGGCCTCTTGGCTTCCTTCTGGTAAAAGTGCCCCCATTGATGAGCCTGTGAGGAAGAAGTCAGGAGGGAGCTCCAGTCCCTTCAGAGAGATGGAGATGGACAGTAGGAGAGAGAAGGGTAGGCTCTCTGCTTCCCCCAACCCCCGGCCCTGGCATAGCCTGGACCTGGGGGTTCAGCACACTGTGGACCTCAGCCTGCAGCCCGGGGGAGACGCTTCCTCTTGGACTTTTCTCCTTCAGGCTCACACACACATCCTGTACACAGATGTATGAAGAGGGGCTGCTCATGGGTCAGGCCAAGGCACAGGGAGGGCAAGGTCAGCAGGTCTTGCCCCAGCTTCAGAGTGTGATGGTGCCGGTGAGGCTGATGAGGGTCTGTGTCTGGTATCTGGGATCTTACACAGAGCAGCTAGGCCTCCCCAGGCAAAGGAGTGATGGCAAGGAGGCTACTCAGTCGCCTGCCTGCCCAGATAAGAGCCTAAAAGACTAGCCCCACCCCACACCTCCCTCACTCACCCCCGGCAAGTGCTGTCGGACAGGCAAAAGGCTATGGCGTCTTGGGGAGTTTCGGTGTTGGCCCATTTTTAGGCTGAGACCCAAGAGTTCGTCCCACCCATCAGCCTCAGCCTCCTACCCACAAGAACTGGTTCTCAGTGTCTTAGCATCCTGTGGGACTCATGAAGAGCTTCTATAGATCATCCCAGCCTGCCCCGCCATTCAGGCTCCAATCCCTGTCCAATCCCAAGGTGTCACCATGTCGATCCCATAATGGGTACATCAAAGGAGAAGCTGTCCTGGCAGAGTATGGGCCTTTGCCTCCTTCAAAAGTCATTTTTAGACATGATTAGGAGTACCTTTTAAGCTAATTCAAAGGCTGAGTGCGAGATGGCTTTTGGCTATATTTAAAGGCAATGCAGGGAAAGGGTGTCAGAAGGGAGTCTGGGTTACAGGCATGAAATTGTGGTTTAGCTAAACAGTTACCCTTCTTAAATATCAGGAATTTGAAATAAGTTGATTTGAGAATCTGGTCATCATCCCAGCTTTTACTGCTCTTAAACCCATACTGTCCCCATGAGCTCTTTCCCCATGAAGTCAGAATTTGGAGAATGCGTATGGCTTCCCAGGTAAAAGACAAATTATGATAGCACTGAGACAGAAAACCAAAGCTATTTCTTGTTATGGGAGAAGGGCACTAACAGAGAAGCCTAAGTATCTGTTTAGTTCATTCTTCTATCGAGAGCTTACTTTGCGCCAGGAAATGAGCCAGGCGGTTTTCATTCAGTATTCTGTTTGCTCCTTAAAAGAACTCAGGAAGTCTCGTTATTCCCAATTTTTAATTTTTTAATTTATTTTTTAAAAATATTTTATTTATTTGACAGAAAAAGCGAACACAAGCAGGGCAAGCAGCAGACAGAGGGAGAGGGAGAAGCAGGCTCCCCGCCGAGCAGGGAGCCCGATGCAGGGCTCGATCCCAGGACCCCGGGATCATGACCTGAGCCAAAGGCAGATGCTTAACCGACTGAGCCACCCAGGAGCCCCTCATTATTCCCGATTTTTAGATGAGAAAACTGAGGTTCAAATATGTGGCCAGGGTCCCCCAGTAATTAGCCATAGCGCTGGGATTAAATCGAGGTCTGCTGGCCACCAAAACCAATGCTCTGAGGCCGCTTAGAAAACTGAGGGGCCAGTCTCTGCCTTTTTCCTCAGCACCGTTGAAGATCCCTATGGGGGAAGCGGGAGCTGAGCAAATCTGTGTTAGGCCGTGCCCAGCTCCAGGGGTCGTACGAAGCAAAGCCCATTTCTCCATAAGAGCAGAAGGTGAGCAACAGCTGAAGCCCTTTGCAGATGTGTCCAGGTGACCCACACTAGTTCTGCATATTCAGACATGACTGACTATACAGAAAGTTTCAAACTACAGCAGGAAGGACTTAGGTTAGGCTCAAGAAATGACTTCCTAAATGTAGCACAGTGGGACAAGTGGTGAGGTGTGGTTCCAAGGTCTCCCCTAGGGGTCTGTGACTGTGCGGGACATGGAGCTCCAAGTATTTGCCTGGCAGTCGTCACTTAGGTGGGTCTCAGAAATATTCCTCAAACCACAGTGGTTCCCGTAGTCGCTCATTCCATCCTCTGCTTCTGGGGTGTTCTAAGAGCTGGAGAGCCTCTGAACCTCCGTGTCTGCCTTGCTTGGCATGGCAGTCACCCCTCCCGCACTGCAGTCACTACACCCCCAGGGGCCATAATTTAAATCTCTGCCAGAGCCACACACATCATTGCCCTAAAAAAAAAAAAGTAGGTTTCTCCCCGCTTTTCCCGCTTTTCCTGGGGCGGAGGTCCACCCTTTTCCCTCATCCTGATCATCTCCAGACCTCAGGCGTCCTGACTGCCAACTGCCTGATTACCTGATGCAAATTAAGACTGCATGCTTAACTGGGATTGGCTGGGGAGCCGGGTATGCAAATTGCCTCACCAAGACTTTATCTGGTTTGAAAGAGTTAAAGTGCTGCCCCAGAGAAGAGGATGGGGGTGGTGGGGGTGGGGGGGGTCAACACGATTTGAATAAAATATTCTTCTGTCTTTAACGGCTTCAGTATTTGGGTGGTTTAATAAGGAGAGGAGCTGAGAGAATGAGTTAGTTCAAAGTTGCCTCTTTGCTTCTCTGCTGATCCTGGAGGAGACTTAGGGACCTCTTAGGTGGTGGCAGCTGTCTGTTAGGGGTAAATGTTTAATTTATTGAAATGAAGCAGGGCAGCGAGGCCGGACCAGCAGCACTAGGGGGCTGAGACCGGGCCTGGTGTAGGTATTCCCTCTCTGCAGGGCACTGACCCGCCCACCATCCCTTTCTCCCTGAGCACGTTGAAGGAGTAGGAAAGAAGGTAAGGATCCCAGAGGAGAAAGATCTCCGGAGGGCCACACAGGAGCTAGGATTTGATCCCCAGACAGTGGGCTGACCACTGAGAACCAGACAGAGAACAAGGGCAGGAATTGGGCAAGAAAGGTGAGAAGGGCAAGCCTGGGTTCAAGGGTACTCTTACCTCCCAGGGTAGGGTTATTACGGGGCGGGGGGGGGGGGGGGCGGGGAGGGGAGATGGATATTTCTTATGCTACTTAAAAAAAAAAACAAAAAACAAATCCTCCAAATCCCAAAGGCAATGAGGATTGAAAATGGGAAGCATTCTCCCCCACCCCCCACCTCGCCGTACCCCTCCCCTTGTTAAATTTTTACCAACTGAGCCTGGTGATTGAAGGAAGTGACAATGAATGATGCAAAAGGTGAGAGATCCCACAGTAACAGCAGAGAAGGGGAAAAGAAAGGCCAGGGAAAGGAGGCAAGCCTGGGAGGAGGGGATTTGTGCCCCGAGCTTATGAATATTCTAATGGTTGTATGTTCGGGAATCAGGAATTTGAAAGTCTGATGGTTGTTGTAATTACACATTCATCTTTGCTGTTTAGTTAAAGCCACATATGTCATAGCAAGAAAAATTGTGACCTGTTATTAAAATCAGTTGTGTTTTCCCTGCAGATATCAAGATGAGTGGGGATGTAGCAGATTCCACGGATACTCACAGTGCCCTCAGCCAGGTGGAGACAGGTAAGGGTCTTCTCTTCTGGGGAATGAAACACGAAAGCACGGGTGGGAGCGAGTTGTTGCAAATCATCATGGAACAATGCGGTATCTTTTCTTGCTCAGTCTTTCAGCCAATCAAACCCCAAAGCTGGGGCTTAGGCAATGAAGGAATTCCCTTAGAGACATAGGATGTGACCCTGGAGGCTTTGAACAGTAGATATTGGTCTAGAGGGGGACAAAAATCCCTGGAACTAGGCTAGGAAAGGGCCAGATCCTGAAAAACAAAATGGAAACAGGAAAGTTAGGGAGATCAACTTTTTGATGTGCCATTCCAACACCCGTGGAAGCAGCAGGCTGCGGCCCTAGCCGCTCTGACTGATGGAAAGCACTGTGTGTCTTCAGTAGATGGGGACCAAGGCCTTTTAACCCCAGATTTCTCAACAGGCCTACTCAAGGAACCAGCCAAAGAGGGCCGTGCGCAAGTCTTCCTCTTCCAAATTACATGCATGTGGGTGGTAAATAGACCCAGAAAGAAAGGCTCGGTGCCTGGAAGATGACTTTGCTTTGTAAAGAAGAGAAAGAGGGCAGCAAAGAATTGAGAAGAAAGTTTCATAGCTCTCTGCTTTTAACTCCATAGCCCAAGCTTTGCTTTGAGAGCTCCATATAATTAAAAAGAACTTAAAGAAATATGAGTATAAATTGTAACACCACCAAATAACTTTAATAGCCTTCCAACAAGACCTCAATTAGTCTTTCATCTGGATCATTAGAGACATAGAAATTAGAAGTGGAAGAGAATCAATGTCCCCCAGAGCTAAACTCTTTTCCCAAGTCTTCAGGTGCCATCTAATCCCATTCTTGAAGCTTGGGTCAGGGGCAAGATAATTGGGGGTCCTGTGGAGGCCATCTGCAGGATACACTTACCATAAACTTTTCTACCCCACAATTTAATATTAAAACAATCCTATTGCACAGGTAACAATACATGTTAGAGCTGTAGGTTCTATGGTTTTCTTTGTGAGTAGGGAGAGCTGGGCTAGGAGACTCTCTGGGCCAGTTGCACTCATTTTTCAATTGACTTAATTGCTGAGTATGTTTTACTGAGGGTCTGTGGAGGGGGGCACTTGTTCTCCCCAGTTGAGCAGAAAATTTCCTCCAACCCAAAGAATCAGAGCAAGGTTTTAAAATCAGTTCAGCTGGGGGTGCCTGGGGGGGCTCAGTCGGTGAGGCATCCGACCCTTGATTTTAGCTCAGGTCATGATCTCAGGGTTGTGGAATCGAGCCCTGCGTTGGGCCCCACACTCAGCGTGGAGTCTGCTTGGGATGCTCTCTCTCCCTCTGCCTCTGCCCCTCCCCCTGCTCACTCGCTCTCTGTCTCTCCATCTCAAAATAAATCAATAAAATTGTTAAAAAAGAAAATAAAATCAGTTCAGCTGGAGAGGGATAGGCAGTCTCGGCTCTGACACTCTTCCCTGGAGAAGACTCAGACTCCAGAATCCACTATCAGGAGAAGCTGGATTGCCCTTTCCTGGTAGCAGGCTGGCTGGAGCCAGTCCTGTTCACCTGGGCCAGGTCTACTACCCCAGGTGTGTGGGGACACAACTAAGAGAGTGCCTATGTGGAAAGAAGACCACACTTAGCTGGCTGGCTGGCATGGGCGTTCTGTGACTAGCTAAGCGACCGAGTCAGGGTAACCGTGTTGGGAGTGGGAAGGAGCTACATGGAACCCTAAAAGGTGAGCCAGGGGAGAGAGTGAGTTCAGATTCTGAGTGGGGGTTAGGAAAACGAAGGTGTTAAGAGATGATCTGTGCACATTCTGGCCTCCTATCTGGAACTCTGGGAGCTATGTATAGACTAAGTTGAAGGAGAAAGAATCCAGACATAAACTAGCACTTTGGGGATCTGTTTGCCATCCCAGGGCTACTCCCAGTTCCGTATGTGACCTTATCCCAGCTACTTTGCCTCCTTAGGAGGCAAGAACAGATGATCTTCGAAGGGTATGGATTTAAAATCACAGCCTAGCTGCTCACCAGTTGTATGATCTGCTAAGTTAGTTTAGCCTCGTCTCTTCTGTAGAGGGGGGTTAATTAATGTAGCTGAGATGACCTTTAAAGCCCTTAGCACACTGCCTGACACAATGCAGCTGTGATCATCATCTCGTCTAATGACATCTTCAAGATCCTGTGATTCTGTAGTTTACAGAAGGAGCATCGCTGCTAAGCACTTGGGGGCCCTAGGTAGCTGGGATGCCCTTCTCCCGTTCACTCCGGCCAAGTGGGTCAGCCCCGGAGGCTGGTTTTTCTCGTTTCCCATTCAAGAAAGGATTCTGTGTGGGTCTTCCTCAACTCCAAGGAGACCAAGAAGTCCGTGCTCTGTGCTGTCTGGAACTTCTCCACCCCTAGATTCTTCACTTCTGGGGACTCAGTGCCATGGCTGGTACCATCCATACTTAGGTGATCATCAAATTACTGTATGTTTTTAAGGGCGAGAAAAAAGAGGTAGCTAATTAAAGTAACCAAACTTCCTGGAAAGTCATTCTGACTCATTTTTTTTTTTTTTTTACAGAGAAAAGCTTATTATGAGTCACAATGGTTACCAACTTGGTTAAATGGCTTCCTTTGGATTTTTAAAAGGCAGATCCCCCTTCCCAGCAGTGCGTGAATTAGGGGGTGGTTTGTCTCTGAGTTTTAAAGGAACTACAAACAAAAGGTGACCTAGAAACCCCCAGCTCCCTGAGAGCACCTTCTGTGTTGTGTGAAATCCCCAAGGGGCACAAGGGCTGGGAGCTGGGAAAGGGAAGTCATTTCCCCATCCACACAGGCTAGGACTGCGAAGGAGGACGTTCTCAGGTCCAGACACAGACCTCCTGGCTGGCAGAGACCTGACAGGCAGCTCATTCATTCTTCCCTTTCCTCCTGCTTATAAGGAGCTGAGGCACGGACAGAGGATGAACTGCCCAAGGCCTCCGAGTGTCTTTGTGGCAGCACTAGAGTCCAGAAATCTCCTGATCCCCTGTTCAGTCCTCCTTCCCGACACCCTTGGTACCCGCCTCCCAGAGGACTGGAGCCAAGTTTCTAGATTTCTGAATCATCAGCTTTTCTATCCTTTCTTTTATGTCCCTGTTATTTTTCCTTCATTCTTAAGACTGACAACATTTTCTTTCCTTGTTCTCAACTGAGTGGTTGATAAGAATATACAGGCTTACCGACATTTCGAAAGCCCCCGCATCTGTAACTAACAAACCCCAAGCACTCATACAGCTAACCCTGGGACTTTTGACCACACGGGTCACAGAGTAGCCTCAAACACAGCGGAGGACAGATATGCTGGGCACGGGAAAGAGGAGAGAAAGTCCAGCCACGTTCACGCAGCCTCTTCCCCATACCTGGGCACGTGGACGTGTGCCTAGGATTTCACGTGCATCATCTCATTTCATTCTTATGATCCCTGTTTTTATCAAGGAGGAAATTGTGGCTAAAGAATGAGAAACTGACTTGCCCAGGATTGTACAGCTTTGAACCAGGAATCAAACTCAGGCCTGACTCCTTTGGATTCTTATCTTGGCTCTGCCATTACCTCTCTGCCCAGATTACTGGGCAAGTGTTTCCGCACCGGGACCTTTGGATTTGGGCTGGATAATCTCTAGGAGCTGAATCTTGAAAACAGTGTACATGTTCTGCTTTTCCAAATTCTTTGCCATCACTTTCCACGTCGTGCATTTGTGTAAAGGCTTCCCCAGAGCTAAGCCCTCCCTCGCTACCGCATCGCCCTCAGCCCCTCCCTAGTCCCTTTATTCCAGTTGCCTTCTCCGTGTCCCCTTGGACACCGCCAGCCTCCTTGCTCCATTTATCTCTGATCCTCCGCTCCGAACTAGCTGGTAGTCCTGTAACCAACATCCAAGGAGCACGCTAGTGTAGACCCTGGGCTCAAAAAGATGAAGAAACAGTCCGTGTCCTCAAGGGGCTTTCCCTTCTATCACAGGAATTCATGGCGGAAGGGATGACAGTGGCAGTTGTGTCTAAAAGAGCACAAACATCCAATGCATTTGGCCCTTCCAACAGTTCTGTGTGGGTAGATGGTATCATCCCACTTTGAAGATGAGGGATTTGAGGCTGATTTTCCCAAGATCCCATACCTAGCAAAAGATAGAGTTAAACCCGCGTCTTTCTACTGACTTTCTACCCAAAGATGGGGGTGGGAAGACTGGGGACCAACACAGGAGCCAGTGATAGAGGACACAGGAGACTGGTAGCAGCAGGAGAGGTCCCAAGATTATGGAGGGGGCACCAGCCAACAGGGCTGGAGGGAAACCAAACCCCTGGAAGGTGGGTTGATTTAGTCCAAGAGGCAGAAGCCTTATCTGGGGCCAAAACATGCTTCCTGGGGAAGAGCAGGAACTCTGGTGAAATGGGGAGGGTGAGAATCTAACCTCAGAAAGAATTTTCTCCTTCCCTCTCATCCTGAGCCAGCCTCACTAAGGCACCAGTCTCCCCCCGCCCCCAACCCTCTGATGGGACACTGGGGTGGGGTTGCAAACCGAGATGATAGTAGAGCAAATTCCTTGGCACCCTTGTCCTGCTCAGAGATATGGGAAGGAAGATTTCTGTGAGGAGAACCACGGGAGGACAGGAGGCTAGAGATGAGGGAGGGACTGAGCTTTGTCAGTTGTCCATTCCTGCAGCTCCTCTCCACCCTCAGTTGTCCTGTCAGTGAGGCGGAATGGCTAACACTTGCCCTACTCTCCAGAAGGACCGCCAAGGCATCTTAGCTCTCTGGGGACCCTTTTGCCCTTCACCTGAGAACTTCCAACATGGTTTTACTAAGGAATGGGCATGACCATGTAGGGAGTACAGATAGGCTGGTGCCTCTCGTAAGGTCCCACAGGAAGAATGAGTAACTGACCCAAGACTAGAAAGTCCTTCTCAACCAATTCATTCCTCACCATCTCCACCCTACTGAGTCCTCAGGAAGAGAAGCCAAGGGTAAAGAAACTATGTTTCATCACAGCCAAGAAGTGAAGTTCT